TTATATGTTAGGCTATTTTATCACTTGATTGTATGATTAATATATTTTGCTTTTTGTTACAGGTAATCATCGTTGGATTTAACAACAAATCTTGGAGATGTTTTTCTGGTTGAACGCCATTACTACTTTTTAAAATATTTTTATTTTGTATATTATATTAATATGCATTTCTGAAGGCACACATGCAGAGTAAATCTGACATATACATTGTTATTTGTAATTTTATAACAATTGTAGCTTAAAATATTTGTGAAAATGCATCCTTTTTTTTAATAATATTCAATACTTTTTTTATGTTTATTATTTTTAGGAGTTTATTTTATAACATGCCAATTACTTTTTATTATTACTCGTAGCATAAATCTTTATGATTGAATGTATATGTTATGGGCAATGCAGCATATACATTGAATATCACAATATTTATATAAAAATATAATATATAAAATATATTGTTGTGTGTGTTTATCACACAATATTATAAATATTTTCCTTAATCTCTAAAAATTTATGTATACTTATTTTAAATATCAGTATAAAAAATAATAATCATCCAAAATATTTATATTTGTATTTATAAAAAATAAGTAATTCCACAGCTAAATTATTTTAATATGGCATCATTTTTGTTTGCATATTTTCCAAAACAAATGCTCTCGAGTTGTTGGCAGGTAACATATGGGGTAATTTTAACTTCAAATGTCAAAGATCTCCGTTAAGATATGCTTTTTTGATCTGCACTCGAAGGATTTTTCCGGACGGATTTTTTGGAATTTCTTGGACGAACGAAACACCACCTGAAACGTGTCGCTCATATAAAAAAAAGTGGAAAAGAGAGATAGATAGAAATAGAGAGAGAGTTAGAAAAAAATGAAAGAAAATTAGATTTACCTTTGAGTTCTTTGTATTCGGAAACTTTTTCCTTAACGAAATTCTGGACTTCCTTTTCACTAACTTTTCTGTTATTTTTTACTTTAACAAAAGCTCTTGGTACTTCTCCACATCTTGTATCACTAATACCGATTACTGCGGCTTCCTGTATGTCAGGATGTGTTCTTAAAATTGCTTCTAGTTCAGCCGGTGCGACCTAAGAGAGAAAAAAAAAGTTGCTTTTTAATTCCTTTCCATCGGTATGCTTGGAATAGAATATGATCTCCGTACACGGAACGTATAACTTGAAATTGATACACGATTGAGTATTTCTATTTGTCAACTTTGCAGTGAATCCTATTAACATAATTCGTGTTTGTTAAAATAACACAATTTATAGTAACATATATTTCTACAAACGTTATATTTGATGTATCTAATTTTACTTATAGTCTTTTCATGCAAGTAATAATTATCTCAGCACTTATATAAAACGGTGTTCAAAATTCAAACGGTGTTAAAGTATATTTTTCTAATAAACTTTACAAAACATTTTTTTCTTTCCTTTTTAGATGTAGATATTAAAAGCTCTCGTAGTTTAATCGTCTAAGTTTGGGACAAATTAATTGTATACGTTCTTTGTACATGATCATACACATTTTAAGCACACATGTATATAGCTTTTTAAGCGAATTGATTAATTGTTCGAATCAGCAAAGAAAAAACTTGGCATTCTAGAGGTTTTAACTTACCTGAAAACCTTTGACTTTGATCAACTCTTTCAATCTATCGGTAATGAAGAAATCATAGTCCTCGTCGAAGTATGCGATATCGCCAGTTTTCATCCAACCATTCTCCAATAATATATCCTTAGTAGCTTTCGGATTATTATAGTAACCTTTCATAACGTGAGGACCTCTAATCCACAATTCTCCGTTTTGACCAGGCTCAAAAATATCTATGTTCGTTATGGGATCGACTAATCTCGCATCGCAACCACAAATGTTCTTTCCAATACTAGCGTATTTTAAACCCGTTTTTTCAATAAAGGACACTGGTGAACATTCCGTTAATCCATATCCTTGGAAAAAGAAATCTCTTGAAAATTCGACGAGTATGGGTTAATACAGCAATTCCAAACTTTAATTCGCGGTATCGTTATCGATCTTAACAAAATATTTATGATACAAACGAAATACCATCATTTCTGGCTGAATTTAAGAACAAATACGATTATTATATTTATTATATTAAAGAATTTTTATTTATAATGATTTTAATTATTATTACGAAGTGTAAATCGTATTTTGTTTTAAGTAATAGTAGTTCGTAACTAAAAGAAAACAGTTTCGTAAAAATAATGCAGAAAATATTGGACCACGGTTGGTAAAAATTTAGAAAACATTAGTTTGACGATTGATATTAAATAGAAAAAAATCATTTACATTTACAATATGTTATTTACACTATCGATCAAAAGTTTGGAATCGCTTGTTGCTCGGTTACTCTAAAGGCAGTGTATATGTATAATAGACATGTTAATTTATGACGAATTAATTACCTTGGGCAAATTTGAAATTAGTGTTATCTAATTGATAATTTTCATAGAATCTATCCACGTCCTTTTTTGAAATCGGCGCTGCCCCACTGAAAATAGCTCGTAGATTCGAGAGATTTTCTTTTTTGATAAGCGATGACTGTGATAGATACATTATTATTGGTGGTACGGAAAACATAATCGTTGGCTAAAAGGATAAGATAAAGTAAGCTTTTGAGATGTTTTCTAGCAATATAAGCGATATTTCTGTTTTTTCTTTTCGTTCATTTATTGTTGACTTAAAATCTTGTACCTTGTGATTGATGAGAACATCGTTAAATGTATTCGGTTGGAATCTCGGAATCGTAACGAACTTTACTCCAGACATCAGACCAGGTAATAAGACACCGTTCAGCCCAAAAATGTGAAAGAAAGGTAAAATTGCTGGTATGACTTCTTGATTTACACCTATAAAAATAATAGATCATTTCGAATAGATAATTGACGAAGTTACAGACGTCTACTTTTTTTTGTTTAGTCATATCAATTATAATAAGAGTGAAATTCTTTGCTTTACCATCCGAAGGTTGCAACCACATTTGCGGATCAACGGAGGCCTTCACCATTTCAATATTTGCTACTACATTATTATGCGTTAACATCACACCTTTTGGCAATCCTGTTGTACCACTCGAAAAAGGTAAAATTGCGAAATCACTTACGGAACTGCTTAGGGCTTTCAATGGGGGCAAATTTTTGCCGCGAGTAATCAAATCCTATAAATTTTGAAATCCATCGATTATCAATTCGTTATTTTCGTTAACCTAGGTTGCATCTTTACTGTTCTTTGTTAAACTCTTGGAATTAGAGTGAATTTTTGATCAAAGGCGTTCAAATTTAAGGAGAATGATATCAATTGTATAAATCTTCCATTGTTAATACCTGAAAAGGTATCACTCCTTCCACCATAGGTGCCGTTTGGTCATCGATAACGATCAGAGATGATCCCAATTGTATTTTTTCTACTGCTTTCTTTACATTCGGAAAAATTTCTCTTGCCGTGATGATACCTTTCGCATTAGACAACTCCAATTGTTTTCTTATTTCCTCTAACAATCACGTAAAAAGATTTATAGGCTTTTCTTTTGTCCATTTTCTTATGCATTAGTTTTTAATTCATTTAATTCGTACATACCAATCTTGTATTGTGGATTAACAGTTGTGACGATTAGACCTGCCTCCAAAATACCGAGGAAAGCTAAACTCCATTCTGGTAAATTGGGTGCAATCAAGGCAATAATATCACCTTCTTTAAAATTTAAGTTCCTCAAACTCCTTGCAATGTAATTGGTAGCATCCCTTGCTTGGCTGTACGTATATTTCCTACCGGTAATACCGCATTCCTAAAAATCGTTATTCGATCTAAATTCCACCTGACTTTCTTTTTCTATCATTCGAATTCATTTATAATTCCAAACGAATCAGCCATAAAAGACTTACCAATGCAGTTAGCTTTTGAAATTTATTAACGTTATGCCAAACATATTCCGGAATATACGAGTCGGGATAGGTAAGCGCACCGAAAGGCGATGGAATGATTAATTCTCCATTTTTATCTCGTATAAATTTTTCTTTCGATTGCGCATAATTACGTTTAGAATTTAAAAATTGTATTTTTGTACCATCTTTAAACAGCGTCGATTCGAGTTTGTTGATAAAATGGGATAGTTTCCTTAACGATTTCATATTTCGATAGGATTCTGATCGTTGAAAAATATCACCTAACAACCAATATTAACGAACGATTAAATTTTCGAGAATAAAAAGGTTATTTCTAAAACTAGTCGTCATTAGGAGAATGTTATGCTTAATATTTATTTTTTCGATACAATGTAATTTAAAGTTTAATTACATTTTCATTCATTCATATTTATTTACATAACACTTAACAGATATATATAGATAAGCGAAAATGATATGAATAGTAGTAGAGGCATATCGTAAAAATTGAAGAAGTATCTTAAATAATAAGCCGAGTTAATTTACGAGATAATTTTTCTTCGAGTTTTATTTTATCAAAATAAATTGTAGATTGTTTTACCTTGTAAGATTAGTAGTAACTATATACACAAGTCACTTTTGTCTTCATTTAAAAAAAGAAATAATTTTCAACTATATGTAATAAGAATTGAACTAATTCAGAGCAAAGTGCAAAGAACGTTTCTTATCATTTTCGTTATATCACCTTTTATTTTTATGTTTAATATGTTTTTGAAATTATGTTAAAGATAATTCACACACACATACATACACATAAATATTTTTTCTCCGTGTAAAATATATTTGGAAATTTGAATTATTTTTTCTTTTTTGTTATTAATTTTTTTTTATCAAGAAGATAATAAAAAGTACGAATAACTGACCAATCACAAGATATTTTCATGTGTATCTATCAAGAATACTTTACAAATAGTTTATATATATAAAAAAAAAAAACAAAAAAAAGGTAAAAGAGAGAGAGAGAGAGACGAATACGTAACCGTGTGACATATTTTTAAGAACTTTCACTTTATTCTCTGTTCCACTTGTCAGTTAGTTTCTTAGTAAACGTATTTCTAAAAGTAACAACGTAGAATTTTCATTTTTAATATTGTTTACGATGAAACAATATAGATTACCTTTATTTCGATGACAACTTTAACACCTCTCTTTATCTCTTTCTTTTTTATCTGTGAAATATGAGATTTCACACGACGTTTTTTTTTTCGGTTCTCGCGAAAAAACAGAATTGCACTTGATCTCGTATTCTACTGTCCTAACGAAGTCGTTATTGCTGTTAGACTGAATGAGATTCTTCTACAGAAAAGATTTTATATTACTTCTACGAATACCACTACTACACTATGAAAATAGATAAGTTAACTACACGGTCGCGTTTTACCCCTACCATTGAATTTCTAAGGATCGACGTATTGTCGTCGTATGGCAACGTTATCATAAGGAATGATTATAAAAACTTTCTTCCGATCGCTCGTCAATTTTATTCTTTATACTCGTTTATCGATATGAATTCTTAATTTATTTCTTGGCAGTCAGTCAGTCAGATATTGTTGTGCAGGTATTTAATCTGTTTACTAACGTATACTTAATGAGGTATTTATTCAATACTCTTTCATTAATATTAATGTATGTTTTTTTATATAAAGTTTTTATATTTTAATTAACGATTTTCATTCAATTTAATTAGGAATATATAACTGATATATAGAGCATTACTTTTTGTGTATATAATAATTAATCGATAATTCGTTAATAAATGAAAACTATCTTTCATGATATAATTCAAACATATTTCATATATACATATACTTGTGATTTATTCAATTTATTCTTATAGTAAATACAAAAATATAATTGAAGTATTTCTATATGCATAATGCCATAATATGTTTATTTAAGCGTAGATAATTTGCGATAAGTTTGTGATATAAATAAATAAACGGAAGATAAGAATCTTTATCTAATATATTTTTAGTAATCACACACATTCAGATATTATTTACGATAACAATATTTAATATTCACGATCATAACGTCTATGTGTGTATATGTATGAGATTGTTTTCTTAAATATTTAATTAAATCTTGTTATTATAATGAAAATTTTAATCGGAGACATATCAATGCATAATGAATTTATTTTAATCGTGATTATGTATCCGTTTGATGTAGAAACATTGAGGAGAATTTAATTTGCGCGTCATCGTGTTTCTCGCGTTATATTATATAATCTAGGCATCATTAACGTTAAGTTTCCACTTATCGATATTGCAGTTTAATGATGATTGCATGGATTGCATTTCCTCCCGCGTCGATTAAAAAGAAAAGTTTCGTTATGCGCCGACGCATATTCAACAATTTTGATATTAACATCTACGCCGACGCAATACGCTTAATCAGAGCCGTATCGTTCGATTTAAGACACATGAAAATTTAACCATAAATAAAATTCTATGAAACACTCGCGTGCTCACGGATTAAAGTTCAAGATAAAGGAGGCCATTCGTAAGAAATATTTATTTTACATGTGAAAAGAGATAGAATAATAATCTTGTTGGTGTTAAAAAATAATCTCAAGAAAGTAATATTTAAGAGTCAACAAAGAAAAAGAAAAGAAAAAACAAACAACAGAATGTTAGATTTAATGAAAACAGTGATCTTTATTGTTAACTATCGAAATATTATATCTCATTGGTGTTTTTTTTTTCAACTTCATTTTCTTTAATGATAAATTTCGTCAGTGTTATCGAGAATAAAGAGTTGAAGAATTATTGTGAAGTACGAAGAGAGGTCGACGATAAGATTCATTATAGTAGCACGCGAAAAAAAAAATAAAGAATAATATAAAAGTATGTTTGAAAGAGAGAAGAAAATACGTGGTCCATCGGTAAAGAGTGACGTCCCTGAGGGAGGAAATAGGTGAGAAAGGGGCCGAGCACGACGCCATGTCGATGTTCACCCTCTAGTTCGTTCTCGTTACAGCCCTTGTCTAAAAGTCCAACTCGAGTCGGAAAAAAAAGGTTCTAAAAAAAAGGGGGAAAAAAATAATCGAAAAGCTAGCGCAGTGTGGGAAAGCTCGAAGACAAATCTTTAAATTAGATTATCGAAATCACTGGCGAAATTACTCTTGCACGAAGCATTGGGCTATGAATGAAGACCCAACCTTTTCATCTCGAGGTAATTAATTCGTCTTTCGTTAAAATTTGTCCGTCGATAATCCGACTTAGAAGTCGCTTAACTTGACCTAATCAATCGATCCTAATACTTATGCAATTCTTTTTTTCTTTTTTTTTCGACCAACTAGACATATTGATAATTTATAATAATATAAGATTGCAAGAGTTTCAATGAAAATATTTGAGAAAAAAAAAAGAAAAAAAGAAAAAAGAAAGTACGCCAAAGTATCGTCTATTTTTGTCTCGTTTTATGAAATATATCCCAGTGACGTGAAATAATGTAAAATATTATTTTATTTTATCGTTCTCTGTGTAAGAAATCAATGCTACGAACAATTGATTTTCTCTTTTTCCCAAAGTTAAAACATCCAAATAGTGTAGGAGTACACGAACGGATCATCGAATATAATATATACATACGTGTTTCATTGATTCTTCCACTTCCATGACACATTCGAGTTTATAGTTGCGTTTCTTGTTAAAATTTTGATTGCTATTATTTAATTACTTATCAAGAATAAAGTTTTTGAACGTTTACGCGATAAATAGAGGGTACATTGGCATACATTGTTAGTTATCATAGATTAGAATTCAAGATTAGCTCCTCGTATTATTTTAGGTTTTGGCAGTTTTGCTATTGTCAGTGATACCCTGGCCAGGTCCAAGTGTTTTTAAAATATCATGCCCCCGCGATCGTGCCTCGGTGGTGAGGAGGATAGTTCACAAGGTAAAATACTTTAAACAATATAGTAGACTCCTTGTATAACACCAGTTTTTACAATTCGAATTCATATAACGCACGAAAAGTATTACGATTACTGTTTTTACATATATAATTCGATATTTAAAAAAAATACAATGTGGTATATAATAAAATACGAGAAATTTGAATAATCTAATGAGGAAATTTGCATATTAATTGAACGTTACATTGTTCCCTTAGTTCTTTTCTGTTTCATAATTATTTTTTCTTTTTTAACAAATTTTTAAACAATATAAGAATTCATAAAACGCGTTATATGAGAGTCTACTATTTCTATTTTCATTTCGCAAGATGGCAAAGCAAAGTTTTAAACTTTGTCGAGATTTCAGAGATGGATACCTATCCTGAAAAAATATCAGGTAGAGCTACCCTTAGAATGTCCCTTTCACGAAAGTCGAGACATTTTTCGACCTCAACAACGAGCAAAGCATCAGCACAGACCGTCGCAATGGACCTGCGGCCTCTGCGGCAAATCATTTTACGCGGAGAAACATCTCGACGCGCATTTCGATAACAGACACAAAAGTAACGTTAATACGGTGAGCTATCCTATCATTTAATATCAATGGTCCATTAAAATATCGATTTGTTTCATCGGTCATTCTCTCTCAACAGTAATTAAATACAATCTCAATATATTTAATATATAATAATATATACTTAATATTTAGTAATATCTTTAAGTAAATGAAAAGAAAAAAAGTTAATCTTTAAACACGTTCGTAAAAAGAAACATTTCTGGACACAATTAGCTATTACAAAGGGATATACATGTTTGTGATGAATAACCTATGACCTAAGAAACAAAAAAAAATATAGAGTGAGAAAGAAAGTAGTTAACGGTAAGAGACACTAACGTCATCAATGACCGCAATTTTACGTCAGGCTTGTATCGAAAATAGGGTTGAATTAATGAGAAAATCGATATTGGTAGAATAAATAAACTTGATAATATTGACGCGTCGGTTTTAAAAAGAAAAAGTTGAAAGATCAATATATTCTACTTGTTTTCGATTTAAAACGAAAGGCGGAAGATGCCGTGTGCCTTGCCGACTACTGCGACATTATGAGATGCGAAGTATTGGGAAATCGTGATTTTGAAAGTTCAATGGACGACGAGGACGACGATGGGGGTCATCTCAATACTGATATACAAGTACGTTCAAGTTATTTAAATGAAATCAAAAGTATATTTAAAAATAGAGTAGAGATTCCTGTATAATACGGTTAATACGTTACGCATTGTTCACATGATTCACATGACTGTATATAGTAATGAAATGTTGAATGAATCAAATTGTAAATAAGTCCGTAAATTTAAACCTAGAACTACAAACTAGGGTATATATTTATCCCAAGGGTTTTGTTTTAGTCCTAAAAACTTTTCTTATAGCAATAATCAGACTTTTAAGTATATGAATTTTTTTGTTTTTTTTCTTTTTCATGCCAAAAAGAATGGGCGAAGAGCAAATTCAATTTTACTAAAGTTTAATCGGTGAAAAATCGATTGAAATAAATTAAAGTATTGACAAACGATCAGATCTTTATTTAACGTCGAAAAACCTGGGGTGGATATCTACTCCCTCAGTAAATAGTTCTAGGGTTAAAGTATTTAATTGTAAGAAAATAATGTGAGATCTGATTGAACAAAGGTGTGGAAGGAGAATACGGAGCAACGCAGTACGTCGGTGGTTCCGTGTTCGCGAGATGTAGCAAGGAATAACTATCGTTCTTCCTCTTCATCTTCCACGGATAAATCCTGCGCACTTGCAGCTACGAAAAACGATTTACAACGTTCGTATTGTCGACGTGCCGACGCTGACGTCCTGAAAAATCATCGTCTAGCCGATTCCTCTTCTTCTTATCGTCGCAACGAGATAGCTGGTCCTGAAAATAACAGTGACGCTTGTGATAATGACGATGAAGACGAGGAAGACGGCGACGATGATGATGATGATGAACAGGACGATGAAAATAACGAGGATGACGACGAGGATGAGGAAGATGATGAGGCAAATCTGGTAGAATCTGCCCTACCTGCCGTTGATAAAAAACAAAGACGCAGAGGGATACATCTTAGGAAACTGAAATCCAATTGCAAGCCCGAGGAACTCCAAAAACTCAAGTTACAATGTGAAGTTAGCTTTTTTTCTACATTTATTTTACATCTAATCGAATATTAATTGGGTAACCGATACTTTGGTAATGTTATTTTCGAATGTGATAAGAGGAAGGAAAAGTATATAAAAAAAAACTTTGAAATTTGTTATCGGTAATATTGAAGTATTATTAGCATTGCATTTTGCTTGGTTTTGCAAGTGGACATTGGACTGCAATCTTACATTTTTAATAAGAAATTAGCTTACTTAGTTTTTTCAAAGTTATTTAATATTCTTTCAAATAATACTTTTTCTTTTTTCATGAAATTAAGTCACTTTTATTCTAGCACGTAATACACGTAGTTAAGGAAATGACAAAATCGTTAATTAATATAATACATTTCTTTTTATTAAATTCGCGTACAACATACATATTTATGTACAATCTGTAGGACAATACTTTTCAACAATAATGCAAAATAATCTAGCGCATTTTACAATCGAAGAGAAAATTCTATTATTTATACAAGCTTTTTGTCGACAGATACTCGTCCGCGATTGTATCGCAGGACTTCTCGCAAATCTTTCGGTTCGAGACTTTCAAGAAATCGAAGGTACGTTATTAAATAAACGATCTATTTAATCTTTTAAATGGGGAACTAATTTTTATCAAAAAGGCAAATGTTTTCTATGCAGTAACAATAAATATGTGAAGTCAACGATTTGTGTTTTAAGTAATTATTAAAGAATAGAGATCTATCTCTCCCTCTCAAATATATATTCAATAAAAAAAGATGTATTAAGTTTAAATTTATTTTGGTCATCCGTAAAATACAATGATGAGTTAATTCGTTATCATCCCCAATTAAAAGATTAAAATTAAAATATATCGAGCGTATTTTAAAAAAGAAAGAACAAAATTTGTTATGATTTCTTTATTGTGTGATGGTTAGGTGAACTGAACCGGGCTATCTGTTGGTATCTTAGTTGCGATAGATATTGGGAAGATACTAAACGACAACAACGGCAGACACCATGGTATCTGCTCGCTACGTTTATGGCTCTTTTCTGTACGTCGATTTATGCCTGCTATTACGTCATCTGGGTTCTCTTCAAGTATGTAGTACGTTAACCGTGAAACTGGGTAAAAAATAATACAGTTTCTCGATGATATTAATACAGTAAACACCCGTGTAACAAAAGACTATTGTTTTCATATAAAATGATTTTTCATACAACACGAGATATGTATGAGTCACTCCACATTTGCCGAATTAAAGAATTTTACCAAACAAAAAGTAGAGAAAACTGATAAAGAAATATGAACAATCGTATCATTTATTAGGAAACGGCTATACGAATTGTAATTATTCACTGTTGTTATGTTTACTTATTAAAGACATTTTGTTCAATCATTAAAGGGGGGGTTTGGTATTTAACAAATAATTTGATTAATTTTTAAACATTTTTTAAGTGAAAGTTAATCGCTTTGACTTGTGAATTTCTCATATATTAAATTCGGGAATTCCCTTTATTTAAAAATTAAATTTCCTTTACCCTTTTTGAAGTGTGAAACTAATTTAACAAAGGCATGATTGTTTTTTGTAATAATAGTAAATACATAAAATAACAATTTGCATTTGATGTGATTATTAAGAAATGGGATTTCCCTTTATATATATATTCTCCAATAAAGAGAAACCAAATAATGTATTAAGTTTATACATTTACTTGCGTTGTGACTCATTAATTTGTTATTTACTATTAAAAGATTAATTGAGTATTACATTGTTATCTTAAACGCTACAAATTTATTCTCTTTCATAATTGTTATTCTTTTAAATCGTTGATTACTATATTATTAAGAATAATTTGCGGTAAAAAAGAAGATTTTTATGAATATTTATATCCAATACGCACACATATATTCTTACGAATAATTAATTGTAAATTATCTTGAGAGAGAGATGATAAATAAAAATTTCATATAACGTATTATATATTAATTGCGTTATATACGGGAGTTTACTGTATAATATTTTATCCAACTCCCAAATATTAATAGAGAGATTGAAGATTCGACTTTGAAATAGATTTTATTTTCTCATTATACCTTTTAGTACCGGAGACGAAGATAGGTTTGACAATTCGGGAAGTTACAACGATGGAAGTCTTACGGGTACGTCATCGTTACACGATCAGGGTGGTCATGGCGAGGGTAGATCGATAGATAGAAGAAAAATGGATGGTGAAGACGATAATCTAGCATCTACGAACGAAGAGATGCCAGATCATTACATATACGTCGCATATCCCCCAGAATTGAAACGTCGTCTCTTAGAAAGGTATTTTTTTTTTCTTGGAGAATTTTCTATAAGACTGTTCTCTTTGATTAAATATAATGAATCAATCGATGCGATGCTAGCGAGTACTTATTTTTCGTAGCTGCTACAACAGGACTACCAGACTATGAGACCGAAACGAAAGAGGACGATCGTTTCATATCCATCTTGAACACGACTGCACTACGAATGAAGGCACTCTTTTCTCTTTCTCTCTCTCTCTCTCTCTCTCTTAATCTTTCTCTCTATTTCTCTTTGTCTTCGTGTTTTGTATACCAAATCTATTCGAATAAATTGCAACGTAAGACAGGAATCTTCTATCGTAGAAACAACAACAAAAAAAACGACCGTAAGAAAAGAGTTTTAAGAAGAAGAAGAAAAAAGAATAAAAAAATAGGCTTTAAAATTGTTTTCGTTTAATTGTACAAGTTAAATCATCTATCTACTATTTGTTAAAATGAAAGAAAGAAAGAAAAAGTAATGGGAAGAAAAAAAAAAAATGAAAAAACACGATTGGGGTTACTCTTACAAAAATGATAACTTTGTATAAAGTACGAATAATTGGACTACATAAAAACTAAAGGACTAACATAAGTAATAGACTCTGTTTGAGTTTCTAAAACCAATATGTCATCTTTATAGAACCATCCGAATCTCGCTGAGTGTCCATCACGCTAGATTGCCGAACAAGTCGGCGAACGCTCGCACTGCTCGGTCGTTGTTGTTCCTCTAAAATTCTTTGAGATATCGCTTGTGTCGGTATAGTTTGAGCTATTGGAAGTTCAGGTACCTCGTGCATTTCAACAGTTTCTCTTGCCGACAGGTCCTCGTAGGAAGCCGCTGCAGACGAAGGTCTATAATAAAAAATAAAAAATGAAATACATTAATTTGAACGCACAAGTGTGCCCTCCCCCCTTTCGAATATAGAAAAGAAAACAAATAATAATATTTGAACATATAATTTAAACTTACTTGGTCGGTATGCATCTAATACAATCTGCACAAGTCCAATCCTTTCCAAAGAGTTCTCCTTCCTCAACTGTTTGTGGAAGTCGATGGTGTAGAGTTTCTGGTAATCGTAAACCAGAAAGACCACCGATCACCGAGACACAGCCGAAAATTACCAATGGCAAAACTAAATTTTCCTTACCCTGGAAATAAAAATTATATTCTATAATAAAGTACACACTCATTCGACATACTTTTCTTTTCTCTATTTTTTATCTTGTTTGTTTGCACACGCGCATGCACACACACACACACAGACAGACAGACAGATAAACATATACAGCACAATAAATATATTCACCAAGTATGTAACGAATGGAATGATGATAAGACCAAGTCCGCTGATATAAGCAGAGAAACCAATTGCAACACCGCGCAATTGTGTTGGATAAAGTTCACCAGCGAACGGATATATAATCAAAAACGAGGCCGATATCGCAGACTTTGATAAAAGAAATAGGACTAACGTGGCTACAACGGCATCTGTAAAAGCAAAAGAATTAAATTTAGTTAGGTTCGAGTAACTGATACAAAATTATCTTTGGCAATGGTACAGCTTTAGTTAATTGTAGTTTAATCAATCAATAGAATTACCTGCGGAAAGTAGGACTGTTGCTATACAAGAGACACCAGCTACAACCATGCAAAGACACAATGGCCATCTGCGACCCCACCTATCCATGACTACCCAGCAAGCCATATAACTGGGAATTTCGGCTAACGAAGAAAATAGAAAGCTAAGATGTTCTTCGTTTCCGAGTGCAGGTCCATAATAAGACAATCCAACGTATACCATATTATTGGCAAACCTGAGGATCAATTGAATGCAATTAAATGAACAAATAAATAAAGCATTAACACTTTCGCGATCGGCAGTTCTGATTCTGATTCAAAATTCTTAATCAAGTAATGCATACGATTTTTACAAATCTATAACTGACAATGAGTATTACAGATTTTTTGTTTCTTAAATATTTAAGTATGTATTTTTTAAAATAATTTAAATATCACTTCATTGCGTGATTATTCTAATCATTTGTTAACATTGAATTATGTAAACAGTCGCGAAAGTGTTAAGATGTTGATCTATAAAAATATAATAACGCTATTATGATCTACCAATTTAACGTGATAAGGCAGGTCTTTAGACGCATGTTTGGTGTTTTAAAAAGAGACAAGACACCAGGTCCATTGCGTAGTCTTTCCTCTTCACTCTTCGTTCTCGACATTGTCATTCGTTGACGTAACTTTTGCGTGAACGAAGCTGGAAGTTCTTTGCCATTGACACGTGCCAAAGTTTCTAAAATATCGTTCGCTTCTACCAATCGACCTTTCGCCAATAACCATCTTGGAGATTCAGGAAGGAACCTATATAATTTTATTCATTAAAAGTTTTTATAAAAGTTTCGAAGCACGATTATTTAATTTGATAATAATCGGTATTATCTATCTCTAATATAAACTTACCACCAATAAAAGAAATATAATAGAAATGGAGCACTCGTCGTAATTGCGAGAATCCTCCAATCTCTTATTAAATACGTAACACCTGCCAGCATACATAAACCCATCGTATAAAAGCTGCACGTCATTACTGTCACGAATGATCGATAATTAGGTCCAACCAATTCTAACGCTAAAAAGATAAATAATAATTAACATGTTTATTTAACGATACATACAATGAAAAAGTAAGATAAATTACTTACATATGATGAAAGGTATTTGATAAATAGCTGGTATAGTTAAACCAACCACCATTCGCGTAGCTGCCCATGTCCAAAAACTGTTAGATATGGATGTGAGAAAACCACCGGTAATCAATGTCGCTAAACACGTAAAGAATGACAGTCTACGACCAATTCTGTAAAACGAAATATCATTAAAATATCAAAATATATAATTATGCAAGTTAAAAAATGGAGAAAAGTATAACAAATCGAATGAGTGTTCTTTATCTTTTTTTTTCTTTTCTTTTTTTCCATGAAAATTATATTTACCTGTCGTTTAAACTGCCAAAAAGATAAACTCCTATAGGCCCACCGGTATTTAATGCAACCAGGCCGATCGTTGGATAAATAGCACGTTCGCAAACGAGATCAAACTGCAAATGCATTTAAAAATCCATTTTAATCCGAACGTCGATAATCGAACGATACTAAAAAAGTATTTTTACGTACGTCAATGACTATCGATGACGTGATATCGGAAGTATCGTATTCCCAACCATGATCACAGGGTACAATGGACCACGAAGAATTTGTTCTAGTATTGGATGCATTTTCTGTCGTCCAATCGACGTCATATCGTGTGCATTGACTGTACGTTTCGTTGTCATCCTGCCGTGAGAATTTCGTTTAAATACTACCACGAATTTAAATGTGTTTTATCAGTTTTTTTTATGGTCAGGCATATACCAGCCGTCTACGAGGTGCAATCTTTGGCATCAATTGTATTTTGTTTTACGCATTACATTATAATAATAAATATATTATAATATATATAATACTCCCCCTCACCGTGTGTCCCCCAAATTAATTGTCGAATTTGGTGGTGTATAAAAATGTTTATACAAATTTTGGAAGGAGGTATTAATATTATAATATTGCAACGATAAAGCGATAACAAATAAATTTCATTTTGAATTATAAGATCAACCTACTATATATATATATATAATTAAGCCTACGTTTGGAAACTTTCAAGCTGACAAAATATCAGTTCAACTTCAATAGGGCACCTGACTGGTAGGAATGGCGAGTCTCCTTCTTCGAGAAATATCCATATTTTCTAATCCAGGTACTTTGCACCAATGGGCCGGTGTATCCGCCATGAATAGCTGATTGAAAGCGCAAAAGCCACAAGGTAAGCATGCCGGTAGGCATACGAGCCATAACAGCTGCTTCTGATAACGCCCAAATTCACCAACGATCGGCAAAAGATCGTCAAGATCGAATCCTTCCTATGACACCATATGGACGCTCTATTTTTGAATCGTTAGGTATAGAAAGATAGGGGAAATCTCGATCAAAATTAAGAACAAAAAGTAATTACATTCTGTAGTTGTTGCATTTTTTTTAAATATATTATATTTTGATATACAATATATTATTTAATCTTTTTTAAATATAAAGAAAGATAGATTTTATTTAAAAATATTAATCTTTCTTATATACCGCGAGCATTAGATCAATCATTTGAAATTTATTGAACTAATCGGCATATCATCAATTCGTTCACCATTCCCCTGTCTTCTCTACTACCTTTATATTTGATCGGATACGTTGATTTATTGATGATAAATATGATGATTGAAGTAGACGAAATAAAGAAATAAATCAAGAAAAGAAAAATGTAGAAAAAGAAAGGGGTAAATAATATACAGGAGTCCCAATAAAACATGATTTATTATACTTACTTCGTCGTTGGTTTTTTTCGTCTTTTCATCGACGTTGTTGGCATCCTGCCGTTGATAATCATCGGTAGTTTCCTGCATTTTCACGAACTTTGGGGAACTCGTTCGTTCGCGTTACCAAAAGCTCGAGGATACCTTAGAACGGAGTCACGTGAGATGCATTATCCCCCTCCTGAAGAAGATTCAAATGAGATGACAGGTGTTGCATCTTGTTCGTTTTCCTTTCCACCCTTGCGACAGCAAACGACGATGCAGCAATTGGCTTCGCCTACACCGTTTTCTGCTTGGACACGGGAACCAAAACGTCAATCTACCGATTTTCCTTCCTTCAACTCTTTCTTTCTTTCTTACTTTCTTACTTTCTTTCTCTCTCTTACATCATACTTACTTCTTATTCTATTTAAATCATCTCACTCTTTCTCTCTTTCTTCGAATCTTTCACACAAGCAAGCCCCACTCTTTCTCAATCTCTTTTATTCCCCTATTTTACCTTTTTCTTTTTCTCGATCAATTTCAATCGTGCGAAAAAAGGTGATCTAAGTTTATAGGTAACTACTAATGCAAAGTGATTGATGATACTTTTTGTTGTTGTCAATTTTGTCAAAATTATCACTAAAGTATATACTACATATTATCAAATGTTTCTTCGATATTTATCTATTTTAATAATCACGAACGCGCGATACTATTTGATTAACGTTAAATGTAAAATTGTTAAGTGTGTTTAAGAGAAATCACTTACCAAAAGAGATAATTAATCCGAAATATGGTGTACTTAATATTATTATTATTATTCCAAATGATATTCTTTCTCGAATATATATTGTTAAAACGATAAAAAAATTATTTCCAAAATTTTACGACAACCTTTTTATAACTTTTATGAATAATCGGCAAAAATGAGACACAGGCAAAACAATTGATCGGTTTTAAACAATTAACGAGAACCATAGAGTAGTTAAGAGTGGAAGGAAAAATATTGTTCTCTTGTGCAATGCACGCACGATAATAGATAGAAAGAAAACCAAGCAAGTGCTGCATACGGAACTATAGAAAACGATACGTGGAGAACAAAGTTATAGTATGCCCTTCTAATTCAATTGGGTTAAGGGTACTTAAAGGAGATTAAGAACACTGCTGACATATACGCAATATATAACCAGCCCCCGGATTCACTGTTCGACATTTTGATGCCACCATTTTTTTTCTCTTTCTTACCTCCGTGAAAGATTTGTACAATCATTTTGATTTCTTTTTTTCTTTTTTTAAATATGTTTGATTTTGAAATATAATCAAAGTTAAGAGAATCCCCCCCCCCGTTCAAGAAAAAGTTATAAATTTAACATAGAAAATAAGTAAAATGGGGGGGGGAGGGAAAAAGAGCAGAAAAAAAAACCAATGGGGGGCAGGAAGGGGGTCAGAGAAGCATCATCATTGTTGTTCTCGCGTATATACGAAAAGTTATTATTTCGAATGAAATTTTATTTACCGAACAAATCTCTCTGCTTCGGAGGGAAAAAAGAAGAATCCATGCAAAGACGTGGTGGGAGAAGCAATTTTTACTTGCATTCCATTAAATCGTGAAATCTTTCTCTCTCTCTCTCTCTCTTTCTCTCTCAGTTTCTTCCTACTTTCTTTCTTTCTTTCTTCTTGTTTCGATTAAAGAGTACAATAGATTTACGTAAACGCTTTTTAAGTTTCTTTTTTTGCTTTCTATTTTTCTTTTTTTTTTTTTTTTTTTTTTTTTTTTTTTTTTTTTTTTTTTTTTTTTTTTTTTTTTTTTNCTCTTTCTCTCTCAGTTTCTTCCTACTTTCTTTCTTTCTTTCTTCTTGTTTCGATTAAAGAGTACAATAGATTTACGTAAACGCTTTTTAAGTTTTTTTTTTTGCTTTTTTTTTTTTTTTTTTTTTTTTTTTTTTTTTTCTTTCTTTCTTTTCTTTTTTTTGTTTTTCTTTTTTTAATCTTCATTCTGTTCGTGTTGTGTAAGTGTCGTAAGGATAATAAATCGAGGTGGTGAATTAGCTGTTGTGTGTTATGACTTGGAATTATATGGCACTGTCGCTTGGCGATTCGTATAATCCGTTCTTCTTACACTCGATGGTATAATCAGTCACATTAATTAACATTACATTTTTTTTTTTTTTTTCTTTTTTTTTTACGCTCAGTTGATAATATGCCAATATTATTTTTACATTGTTTTGTTTAATACGATTATTATTTTCCTTCCCTTCCCCCATTATATATTTGATTGCCACTAATTTTCATAGGAAAAACAAAATCTTTCCAATTAATGTTTAAATAATTGAATCGTTTTTTACGATTCCCTAAAAAAAGGGTGTATCATTAATATGACTGATTATACACGTTAGGCACACTTTCCCCAACAATTGTTCACAATCATCATCATCATCATTATCAACATCATCAACATCATCATCATCATCGATCTCACACAAGTAAGCTATGTAGCCGAAGTCGCATAATCATTGTCAAGTGTAAACCTTCTTCACAAGCACAGACTTCACGAATCTCTCACACGACTGTCACAACAAACTCATAAAAGGAATCAAAAATCTAACTCGCATCTCATACGGACCCATGCCACACCCTCTCCCCTGGAGACACTTTTTTTCTTTCTTTTTTTTTAATTTTGTTTGTTTGTTTGTTTGTTTGCATATAATAATATCTATTCTTCTCTATTACCCTTTTATTACACATTGTATATAAAATTCTTGGAAAAGAGTTTAAAAAAAAAAAGAAAAGAGACACCCCTTTCTTTCAGCTCCCCCCAATGAATGTATAGAATAAATTTTGTGCTCTTTTTTTCATTTAATTTCATTGTTCATTAAGTAATTTCATCGCGAACAAGTTTTCTATCTTGGATCACATTTTATTCCCTTTTCAAGTATACACTTTTAATATTTCATCCTAATTAATCTTTATTTCGAATAAACATGTGTAGTTTGCAATTTTTAACGCGTCTATACTTATGAATAATTTTCACATTTCTTTTTGTTTGTTTTTTTTTTTATTAAACAGAAAATGATCGATCGCACACGAGCTAAAATTTGGTTGTTCGATTTATAATTAGGATTATTCTTTGAGAGATGAGGGGGGGTGGTGAGAATATATTTTTGGAAGAATCTAATCGTCTCTCGAATATGTTATTCAATCGTTAGACAATTATAAAATAAAAAATATAAAAAGTAGGCCATAAAAATCATCATCGTGTTTTATACTTTGTCACATTATTGTTAATTAATGTTAATTATTAATAATCGTATTATATTCTCATTCCCATAAATGTAAAAAGCTTTTTTCTTTTTTTCTTTTTTTTCTATTCGATCGAAATCCAAGAAAAAAATTTGGAGAGGGTGAGCAAAAATGGTGGCAGGCCAGACGGACTCCATTCATCGATTTCATTTATTTTACTTCAGCCCATGTTTACCATCACCGCTCATGAATTTTTCACATTCGCAATTATAATTTGGTTTCGATCATTCATTGATCGGCATCATCATCATCATCATCATCATCATCTCATCAACAACATCACTCTCCATTCTCAATAGGTTCGCGAAATAAATCTAAATTATGCGTATCTTCTCTGTTCCGTATCTTTTTTTTGGATCTTCGAATTCAATTTCCAACAATCGTTAATAAAACGTTAAGGAACAAACAAATTAATCATTTTTAAAGGTTTAATTTTTTTTAAGGATATTTAAGATGAAGAATTGAATACAACGAACGAATCATTTTTTTTCGTACGCTATTTTTGTATTGTTTTTTTCTTTTCGGACATACATTGGACTCGTGTTTCGCGTCTCGATAAAAAATATTATCGAAAATAATTTTCTAATACACGTTTAAAAAAAAGCAGAAAAGAACAATCTTTCAAAATATAATTTAATGTTTAACCATGATAGAGTTATAAATAATGCATTCTTCTCCATTAATTTTGTTTTTTCTTTCTTTTCTATTTCATATTTTCAATCGAAAAAGAATTAATGAAACATTAAAACAAGTTTAAAAAAAAAAGTAAGTTGATATTATCAAGAAATATAATTCTATTATTTCGCGTAGAATTTTCTTCGTGCACATGAGATACAACAACACGCAACACATATAAAATATATATATTTTTTAAAAAATATTTTTATATCCTTCGGACTTCTTCTTTCTTCAAAAGGAATATTTTTGTATTTTTTATTACAACAACGCTTTCACGATGATGATATTTCAAACGTCGCGGGTTTAAAAATGACGAATCACGAGCCAATTATCTCCTTTTAATTTGTTTGTTCTACATAATTTGTCCCTTCTCGCTCGTTTCATCATATTTTGACGATACGCAACATAATACTACGCATAAAACGTACCCACTTACTTACTTACTTACTTACTTACTTACTTTCTTTCTTTCTTACTCTCTCTTTCTCTCTCTCACACGCTTATTCTGTTATACTCTCTTTCTTTCTTTCGTTCTATCTTTCTCTCTCTCTCTTTCTCTCTTTCTGTGTAACACCCCTCGTCGTCAATCGTTTAATTCATTGGCGCACATCATCACTGATACAGCGTAATGCACACGTTGTTTTATTCTTTTTAATGTTATTTACATGCTCTCACTTACAAACCCTATGAAAGCATCGCACGCACTCTAAGAGTTTCGACGATGAAAGGCTAACAACTAATTAATAGTCGACATGACATTTTTTTTATTATTATTTTTTCTTTTTTCTTTAGCGTACAAGTTAACGCGAGGGAGAGCACAGTTCCCAATTCTCAACTCCTCCTCCTCCCCTCCTCATCTTCTTTTTCGTCCTTTTTATTTTTTTTTTTCTTATCCTTTGTTGTCACAGAAAAAGAACAAAAGGTAAAAAAGTATTTTCATATAATCGGTAGTACAATTATTCTTTTTTCTTTTTTTTTTTCTAACGATTGAAGTAACGTTCGTTACAAAAAAAAAAAAAAAAAAAAAAAAAAAAAAAAAAATATAATACAAAAAAAAAAAAAAAAAAAAAAAAAAAATTAAGGAAAAAAGGAGTGTGGGAACAAGAAAAATCTCTCGTTTTTTTAGGAACCGTGCTCTCCTTTATCAAGGATCAAAATATCGAACTCTCTCTCTCTCTCTCTCTCGCATAAGGGAGAGAGTGTTGTCACATCTCATCTCCGAAAAAAAGAATCACAGTCGCGGTTTAGATTTGTATTTTTATTTTTTACCTTTTTTTTTTTCCTCTCTCTCTCTCTCTCTTTATTTCTTTTTTACGTTCATCCCCCATTCACCTAATCTTTCTGACTCTGTTTTCTTTTTTTTTGGTAAATTATTTCTTTACTTTTTTTGCAACTCGATCCTTTATGACGCACAGCCGACCATTATACACGATTTTTTTAAATCCAACAATTTATATTTTTTTGTGTCAATCATTTTTCTTTTTTTTTTCCCATTTGACCGTTTACGACGATTTAATTAATGCACGGAAATATGTGATTATAATGTTTTTTTTTTTTATCATTTTTGATATATTATTTTCTTTTTTTTTTCTGTCCACGTTCTTCTTTCCTTCGTTACTATTTTTTTTTTGTCTTTTTCTTTTTATTTCTCGCGTTTCAACTTAATCACGAAGAAAAATCGTCCCGAGGACATGGAACACAATCAATTACAACCAACAACAACCCCATCGAAAAGTGTTGGTGGTAGACGCGCGTCTTTAATTTCGCAAACGCGATGTATCAGTACACACGCACACATACACACCCCGTTTTATTTTTCTATGTAAATAATTATCGGCATGGTTCTTCTATTCTTCATAATCTTCTTTTTCTTTGTAACGTTTCGCATAGTTTTTGTATTTTTTTGTTTGTTAAACAATGGAAATATATACGGGAGGGAGTTTGGGGGTGAGGGGGGGCATGTAATGTTTCTTTTTTAAATTTTGAGGCTCTCTCTTTCTCTCTCTCTCTGCGATCGCAACAACAAATCGAAAAGGTACGCGTATTTTTAATTACGGATGTTAATTATAAAAAATATATGTATATCATTATTATTATTATCATCATCATTATCATTATTATTATTATTTTTATAATATATCTTCTATGATATATGGAAAAAAATATTTAACTTTTTTAGATATATAAAAAAATATAGTGTATATATGAATTCTTTCTTTTCTTTTCTTTGTTTCCATCTTTCTTTATTATTTCTTTATTTCGGTTTTGAGCAGAGAAAACTATTTTCGTAGCGTGTGTTTTATTTGAAGAAAAGAGCGCGACCACCAACAACAACTAGCCGATGACGAGAACATGATAA